TGAAGGGAAGAATGTGATGCTGGAGCGGTGAAGGGGAAGAATGGGATGCTAGAGTGGTGAAGGGAAGAATGTGATGCTGGAGCGGTGAAGGGGAAGAATGGGATGCTTGAGCGGTGAAGGGGAAGAATGGGATGCTAGAGTGGTGAAGGGGTGAGAATGGGATGCTAGAGTGGTGAAGGGGTGAGAATGGGATGCTAGAGCGGTGAAGGGGTGAGAATGGGATGCTGGAGCGGTGAAGGGGTGAGAATGGGATGCTAGAGTGGTGAAGGGGTGAGAATGGGATGCTAGAGTGGTGAAGGGGTGAGAATGGGATGCTAGAGCGGTGAAGGGGTGAGAATGGGATGCTAGAGTGGTGAAGGGGTGAGAATGGGATGCTGGAGCGGTGAAGGGGAAGAATGGGATGCTGGAGCGGTGAAGGGGTGAGAATGGGATGCTAGAGCGGTGAAGGGGTGAGAATGGGATGCTAGAGTGGTGAAGGGGTCGAGAATGGGATGCTGGAGCGGTGAAGGGGTCGAGAATGGGATGCTAGAGTGGTGAAGGGGTCGAGAATGGGATGCTAGAGTGGTGAAGGGGAAGAATGGGATGCTAGAGCGGTGAAGGGGTGAGAATGGGATGCTAGAGTGGTGAAGGGGTGAGAATGGGATGCTAGAGTGGTGAAGGGGTCGAGAATGGGATGCTGGAGCGGTGAAGGGGTCGAGAATGGGATGCTAGAGTGGTGAAGGGGTCGAGAATGGGATGCTAGAGTGGTGAAGGGGAAGAATGGGATGCTAGAGCGGTGAAGGGGTGAGAATGGGATGCTAGAGTGGTGAAGGGGTCGAGAATGGGATGCTGGAGCGGTGAAGGGGAAGAATGGGATGCTGGAGTGGTGAAGGGAAGAATGTGATGCTGGAGCGGTGAAGGGAAGAATGGGATGCTGGAGCGGTGAAGGGGAAGAATGGGATGCTAGAGTGGTGAAGGGGAAGAATGTGATGCTGGAGCGGTGAAGGGGTGAGAATGGGATGCTAGAGTGGTGAAGGGAAGAATGTGATGCTGGAGCGGTGAAGGGGAAGAATGGGATGCTGGAGCGGTGAAGGGGGTGAGAATGGCTTGCTTGAGAGGTGAAGGGGTGAGAATCGGGTGCTAGAGAGGTAAAAGGGTGAGAATGGGATGCTGGAGGGGTAAGTGGAAGAATGGGATGCTAGAACGGTGAATGGGGTGAGAATGGGGTGCTTGAGAGGTGAAGGGATGAGAATCGGGTGCTAGAAAGGTGAAAGGGGTATCTGAGAGGTGAAGGAGCTGAGAATTGAAAGAAACGCTATAAACCGTAACAGTAAGTTTTACGATAAAACCCTTAGCTCATAACTTTGTGTAACTAAAAAACTCAGCCCCTATCTGCTTGAAAAAATTAACTCAGCCACAATAAAAGAATCTTGACCGCAATATGGCCGTCCTCATCAATACAGAGTATTTCCAGAGCAAAGCCATAATCTTTGACAGAGACATGACCATGAGAGACAATATGTCTGTACCCCTTATTTATTTGTAGTCATTTCAAATCTTCCATTTCTAGAGGCCATATCATGCACGTCACTGTGTTGTATCCTTGGACGAGGTTATTGACCCCGCTTGTACTATTGGGATATGACTGAAACAGTTGTTGACTGTGATGTGAAATGACCATTAATCATACATAAATGTATATATAAATAAAAATAGTTTATTGCAATAACCTAAGCTGGAACGCTAACAACCAACATTGTTTGTTCCTAAAAAACAACAGGAGCAATATCAAGGAGTGAGTGAGTGTGTTGGGTTTAACACCGCTTTTAACAGTATTCCAGTTACATCGCGGCTTAATGTGGGAGGAAAGCCCGAAGTGATGCAGGTCTCAGACGTTTACCACTTCGGTGACAAACCTAGAAACATAATTGGAGCGAACCGGGATTCGAACCCACAATCATAGGTTTCTGGTGTGCCCAAGGGACGCAACTCTGCACAGCGAATCGCGGCGCCTTAGACGACTGGGCCATCCGTGCCCCCCAATATCAAGGAAGACACATGCACTTTGTATTGTCAAAACACATGAATAAACAACATGATTACAAGTTATGCCACGAGAATCAAGTTGTCCTAAAATGTACCCTATTGCAGTTGGAGATGCATCAGTTGTGAGGATAAATGGTTTGTTTTGGTCGGGATATGCAAGGACAGGGGTTGTTGTGAGGGCTTGCTTTAGCTTTTTGATTGTCTGTTTGCAATTGTTGGACCATTCGAAAGACGCGTCTTTTTACTGAAGGTTGTATGGAGAGGAGGCGATGCCAGAAAGGTTTCCTACAAATTTGCGATAATAGGAGGCATGGATCGACACGGTTGCCATCTTTGCTGAAGATATGCCCTAAGAAGGTGACTTGTTTTGTTGCAAATTTACATTTGTTTGGTTTTAGAGTGAGTCCTGCTTCTTTGATCTTTTTGAATACTGCCTTGGGGTGATTCAAATGTTCTGAAAACGTTTTTATTATATTATATTATGATGTCATCTACATATAATAAAATGTTAACACCAATTCATTTCTTTTAGTGCCTGAAATGGTTTGTTGAAATGTATATGACGGTTTTTGAGGCCGAAAGGGGGGCGATTCCATTCAAAAACGCCATCTGGTGTATGAAAAACAAGAACTTGTGTTTTGTATCTGGATGGAGTGGTATTTGCCAAAAGTCACTGGCACAATCAAGGAACTAAACATGCAACATCTTCAAAACGTGGTAGAGGGGCAAAATATACTTGGTAGCTGCATTGATGCGTCTATAATCTACGGCAAAGCGGTAAGAGCTATCCCGTTTTTTAACCATGACAACGGGAGAGTGTCATTCAGAAGAACTGGGTTGAATAATATTGGATTCACATTTCTTGCACCTGTCTGGAACATTCTTTCCTACTGGCTGCGTTTTGCTTATAAAAAGCTTATAAAAAGGGAGTATAATGGGTCTGGCATCACCTATTTCTATTTTGTGATGATGTAAGTGAGTATGTCTTACTCCTGACCAATCTGAGACAAAAACGGATCTTTGTGATTGGAGAAATGCATTTTACGGTATACTTGTACTTTCAATATTGTCACTATTTTCAGGAAAAAAGCGCCATGGCGTTCAAGGGTATTGTTATAGTGCAAACAACTTCAATAGGTTTCTTTAAAACTTCATTTATCCCAAACACCTAATTGTTTCAAAATATCTCCAAAGTGCACGGAAATTCTATCTCCTTTTTCTGTTTTAATGTTTTAATGTGACCCGTGAAGATCCGGAGTAGAATAAGTCTTCAGCAACCCATGCTTTGCCACAACAAACAACAACTCTGGTTCGCTTTATTTTGGCGGTGGGTATATTATATACAATAAACTACAATATTTATTAGGGTAAGGGTTTACAGTGTTCGAGCTGAGATGGTTAATTAAAATGGGATTCTAGAGCTGAGAAGTGTGTGATCATGAGATGCTAGAGGTGAGAAGTGGGTGATCATGAGATGCTAGAGCTGAGGAAGGTATTAAAATGGGATTGTTTTATGAAATATATGCTCTAGTTTCATTAAATGTGAAATCGGATCCACTAACTAAAATCACAGTTGTGAAGTCATGACGTTATTCGGGTCAAAGTCGTGATGTTCTTCGAAGGTGAGAAGTTATTCCTGTCTAGCTGTGAAGTTGTCCATCATCGTCTCGACACAGTCATGGAATCTCCGGACAGCCACAAGCGTGCATGCAAGTGAAATAATTTGACATTAAACCTCATTTCACCTCAAGTCACCTTCAAGCTGTATTTGGAGCGGTGCATATATGGTATCCTATAGTGGGTTCGATTCCCGACATGGGTACAATGTGTGAAGCCCATTTCTGGTATCTCCCGCCGTGATATTGCTGGAATATTGCTAAAAGTAGCGTAAAACCTGATCACTTACTCACGCAAGTCGTATTTGCAGTTTGGAAACAGTCAGCCTGAGAGAGAGAACAATTTTAATGATGACTAGACCGAGTTAAATATTACTATTACAATGAGTATAGTATATGCAGTCTTTGACTGGCAAAGATGGTTAAATAAAACGTTAAACCCTGAAATATGGAAAACGTCTTAAGCTTGACAACACGTCTTGGTGAAAAGACCACAAGTATAGGCAGTCTCGGGATAAAACGACGTTTGATATGTCGAATATATACTCTGTTATAACGAAGTCTAATGTAACAAAGTTTGATATGACGAATATGGCGTGGATTGATGCTCGTGATGTAAATCACTGGATTGTCTGGTCCAGACTCTATTAATGACAGACCGCCGTCATATAGCTGGAATATTGCTGAGTGCGGCGTTAAACAACAAACAAACAAAACAAACGGACGCAGGAGGTAATCTTGCAAATTATAAAGTAAAGTACAAAAGCGAGCAAAGACAAGATATGAACCCTCCCAAGACAGGCACTCGCAGAGAAGGGAGGCAACTCCATCCTCCACTACATTCCCAAACAACATGCCCTGTCATGTAGTATAGGGCCTATATAAGACGAAATAAGTTCTGGGACGATGGTTAAAAGGCAAAAAAGAAAGAAAAGAACTTAAGGATTCATATGTATTGAATTTGAGGCAGTGATACAGATTAGGCATTCATACCACATACCAAGTCAACCTAGGGTAGGCATTTAATACTTCATCATATTTGAGAGATTTGTTGCATACCTCTTTCATTTTTCAAGTGTAGGCCTAATGTTGTATATACATTTGGTACACAGGGTAAGTGGTAAACATCGAAAATTATTCTAAATTATGTTTAGGCTTCATATTCGCACATTCAATAATTTTGGAAATCGTCTAATAATGAAATATTTGACTAAAGTGTGTCAGAAATTAAATCCTAGCGATGTCTACCATAATTTTGGCATTCTCTTCTCACGTTAATGAAACAAATGGAAGCAGACTACAGATTCGGATTTTTAACCAATCAGAAAGCCGCCTCGCTTTAATTCCGATCTTGATGAAAGCAGCCATCTTTGTTGGTTCCCCACCACACCCAAGCGGTTGGAGCGAGTGACGGACTCGATAAGGGTCGATCTTGGACCCTTTTTGGAGCCCTCTGTTATCTCGCAAGACAGATGGAACTAGAAAATATTGTTGCCAATACAGTATATTTGAAAGCGAGAGAAGGTAAGCTCGATTATGCTGGTAATGTCGACCGCAATACAGCACAGTGTGTTTACATTTCAACCTGACGACTCAATGCAAAATGCTCAGCACTTAGAAAATTGCATTGTCTGGATCCATAATATGCGATAATAATCCGTATGAAATATTAAGCATGTGTTTTATCGAACTGATTTTATCTCGGGGTCGAAACGCATTTATTTAGCGGGGATTTTGTAAGTGCTATGAACGAGATTATTTGCATTGACAACCGGTCGGGGATCCGGCTGCAGTGACACATGACAGCATTGGTCGTAGTGGAGACAATTCTCGCAGATTTGCAATTGTACGACTCGAGTTACCCCAAGCAAGAATATAACACGATGTAGTGTGATTACAGGAAATGGAAAATTTTGTGATTTGAAGGAGTATGTATTCAGACGGAACGGTCGTTCAGTATGCTTAGCGTTTGCATCAGCACTGATAGAAAATGAGGTCAAAATGTGCCCATCACAATCTGTCGTCTCGATTGATTTGGTTAAATGAATAAGGAGGCATGTGAGTATGTTCAGTATGACAGTTCAATGTTGTCATCCATTAATGTAGATTCTCATTAAATGTCTTTCTTGCGGAGTAATCTTTTGGTGCCTATTTTCTGAATAACCTATTCAACAATAAGGTCGGCTCCTATTATTCTTACGTACATTCTTACGTACAAGGTAACCTTATCAGTTTCCATATCCTGTTTTTGTTTAGAAATAGAGTCTAGTTAGATACATTCTTTTTTAAGATTTGTGTCAACACAATCACACATTTCTGAACAGTACTGTAGACATCAGTGATTATGCCCAACTATTCATTTCATAATACTGGTTTATGTAAAACAGTGTTAGAAAGTGCACAAGACCTACAGTCCTTGCTAAACCAATAGTTAAGGTATCGTAAGGACTAGTAGAAATTTGCCATTTTTGAGGGGTTTAGCTGTATTTTATCATAAGGACTAGTGGACAAAAAATGTTAGTTTCTATTGCTGTTAGTTGGTATGATGTTACGATTTGAATACATTTGTTGTAACAAACTACAACAGATGTTCCTGTAGAGCAAGTTGAGTATACATATGCTATCATCATCTCTCTTTTTGAGGAACCATTTTCTTCCATGATACAGTTGGTTGTTGTACATCTTCCTGAAGCAAGGGAGTTAGCTGACTGTAAAAGTCCAGTTTCCACCCTTGCCGAACAAGGCTGGTATTATGGAGTTACATTTTGGCAGGACTGACGAGTCTATGCATAGTCCAGTCAAAATCATGCACCGAATTGAAATCTGGTTCGTAAACTGTCGTGCAGATTTAGGTAGATTGCAGGATTTGCTAAGCATGTGTACCGCCAACCCGTTGTCAGCAGATATTTTCCAAATCTTTTCATGTTTTTAATCAAGGTGCTCACGTGATTTGATTCATTTTGCGATGTAAGACCCGTTTTGTCACAATATAGATCTTGATGGTCGATCAGATCGTCCTGACCGGGCACCACCGTTTTGTGTGAAGCAAACGCAAGTGATATGAGAGGTGGAATCTGATTGGTCCCATAGGAGAGGCTTAGAAGGGACATAACTGGTAATAGCCACTGGTGGCGCTACGATCGAGCCCAGTAATTCCAGCCCAGTAATTCCAGCCCAGATCGGGATGGGTGGAAACTGGACTTTTAAAGTCAGTTAACTCTCTTGCCTCTAGAAGATGGTTGTTGTATGGCTATCAGTGTAAATACCAGATACTTTTTAAAGCTTCCCGGTGTGTCGAAAAACCCTGCATGTTTCTATGACCTCCGCTACTTTTGGTGTTCTATCAACATATATTCATTCACACATCACAAATGTATTGTGTATTTTGAAAACAGTTGACTACGCTATCAATATCTGAATACTTTATCTGTCTTGTCTATACATCCTGTTGAAATCTCTTTATCCTAGGATTTAGGACCAGCCTTTAACATGTTTAACTGGCCTGTTAACTTTGTGGCTACAAAGTCTGCGATTTTAGCCATTGGTCCAAAGCCTGTGTCTAGTAAAATAATGTTCAGTCTAGTAGTAGTAAGCTCAGGTGATAATAGGCTATATGATAATGTTATAATATATGGAAAATGATGTAAGAGACATGTTTGGGCTTGTAGACACAAAATTTGGACGCAGTCTGCTACATTGTGTGCAGTTCCTATAGTTGTTCTCACCACCCCTATTGAGCTATTCTTCCCTTGTCAGCTGAGTACATGGTGGGATCCTAACATGTGCAATCACCTAGTTGCAGGTTTGGCAACATTGTTTTTAACATCAATTAACTGCACCATACATGCTTCAGAGATACTTAGGGAAGTAAAGCAAACTGTGAAGACTTTACACTACTCATGACAGCACAGTCAAGAACATGTTTCTTGATGTTTGCATGATATGGATGTAGGACCGCCTCCATGGTCTTGTGGTAGAGCATACGCCTGGAAGGCGGAAGATCCGGGGTTCGATCCAGCAAGGACTGGTTGGCTCGGAGTCAGTATACTGTGTCTGAGTGGTGTATTCACGTTAAACTGCGGCATGGTATCTCAGTGAGCTAGCACTATAAATCGGCATTCGTCTGGACTAGTACAAACAAGACTCTTTTCAGCCATGTAACATTTTGACATTTGTAATTTTTTTGTCAAATCAAGTGTATGCTTTCTTTTGCCTGGCAGTTTGTGTGACAGGTAGTTTATGAACAGTGAAGCTGCATCAGTGTTCGCATTGATGGGGTTCTTGATGCTCAGCATGACCATGAGGTTAACTGCTGTAGTATGCCTTTTTTCGTGGACAAACCCAGGTATTTACTTTTAACATTAGGATTGTGATAAGACCCCTTACACCATGAGTACACTACACCTATTTCTTGTTTTGGACCACATGACTATACAAACAATAATTTTCAATCAGTCATTTGTCATTCAGTACATTTTCATTGGCAATTCTCATCACTGACATCAGGGCATGCAACCATTTAGATATGATTAGGTACGTCCAATGATCATTGTTCCTACAACATGTACAAACTACATATGCTATTGGCATGATTGGTACCAGGCTCCCTTACAGTATGAATATAGGGATAAAATTTGTGAATGTTCTTTCACAATTTGAAATCCATGTTATTGTACATGTTTCTGTACATTGATCTTGTCAAACTAATTCCCTTGAATTAACCATTCTCTGTATTGTTGTGCAGAGTAATTTTGAGCTCCATTTATTGATATCCCTAGCTTCATTATTCAACATGTTCAAGTAATATTACTTTGAAATGAATCAAATAGTTTTCATATTGATTGAAACAGGTTATTTAGTAATAATGGTTTGGGGGAATGGTCTAGCATATTAGTTGCTGACTATTATCAATTGCTCCTGCATGTTTTTATCCAAAAAGTGAAATTTCTATGGAATAAAAACGCCCCAATAAAGTCAAAACAAAGACCAGAAGGATTTAGCAGTGCCCAGTATGCATGTTTGAGTCAGGTTATTTCTCGAAACCAAAAGCTGGTTACTGTGTATTTAGTTATGTTCTCTTTGTGTACTTACATGATACATTTGATATTTTGTCATAGGTCTTTGTCTGCCCATTAGCAGTGGACTTGGAGATTATATGCAAATTTCATCTGCATTAAGAATATTTCTCACATGTATACATGGTATAAGCCAGGGGCATAGGTAGACGGTGATCTGCATCCATGAATATTTCTCGCATGTATCATGTGTATAAGCCAGGGGCATAGGTAGACGGTGATCTGCATCCCGGAATATTTCTCACATGTATAAACCAAGGGCATAGGTAGACGGTGATCTGCATCCCGGAATATTTCTCACATGTATAAGCCAGGGGCATAGGTAGACGGTGATCTGCATCCCGGAATATTTCTCACATGTATAAGCAAGAGGCACAGGTAGACTGTGATCTGCGTCCTAGAATATTTCTCACATGTATAAGCCAGAGGCATAGGTAGACCGTGATCTACATCCCTGAATATTTCTCGCATGTGTAGGCCAGGGGCATAGGTACACTGGTGATCTACGTCCCTGATCTAAGACTCATGAATGTGCTGTCCCAAGTTGCATCCCTAAGCACATGTATTCATACCAAATGCTAATGATCTTGGTTCTTTACATGTTTAGTTTTCCCTCACACCTGAAGAAATTGTCAGTGAGTACACAGGTTCATCTAGTCTGGCTATTAAATAAAACAAATGATTGCAGATTTATATTGTTTCTGTAAGTCCAAAATTATATAAATACATATCACAGTGAACTGTATTTCGCTGTCACAAATGGCGTAACATGTCTATGATATCCAGTGTTTGAAATTATACATGAAAATTAAAGGGTCCTTGTCATGACCCTAATGTTACAAACTTGAAGGTTTAGGAGATCTCTAGATTCAAATACTATATCAGGGGCGGTTGGGTAGCCTTGTGGTTAAAGCATTCGCTTGTCATGCCGAAGAACCTGGGTTCGATTCCCGACATGGGTACAATGTGTGAAGCCCATTTCTGGTGTCTCCAGCCGTGATATTGCTGGAATATTGCTAAAAGCGGCATAAAATCAAACTCACTCTCTCAAATACTATATCAGCAAACTTGAAGCACTCCAGTACCCCCTTAATTTCAAACACTGTGGGGGCGGTCGGGTAGCCTAGTGGTTAAAGCGTTCGCTCGTCACGCCAAAGACCCGGGTTCGAATCCCGACATGGGTACAATGTGTGAAGCCCATTTCTGGTGTCCCCCGCCGTGATATTGCTGGAATATTGCTAAAAGCGGCGTAAAACCATACTCACTCACTCACTCACTCACTCAAACACTGTGTATGATTAAGTATTTTAAGTGTAGTGACTAGGTATCTCTAGTGGACATAGAACATAATAAAACAGTTGGTTTAATAATTGACAACAATATCAACATGATCAACAAAAGCAATTGATGACATGTTCCTTTCTGTTGTTATATAACCAGATATATTTGTCTACGGGATGCTGTGGTACAACATGAGGAAATATGTTGTACATAGGATATGGAGAATTCATGTTTTGTGTACCAGTGTACATGGTGTACAGGAACTCACATTTGTCCTGCGAGAAGAATTAAGTCCAGAGCCCTCATCTACATCCTCAGTAAGCATGGTGAATTGAGATTGACATGCATAATTTGCATCATTGCTGGAAGGGGATTGATAATTGCCAAATTTATTCATCAGGTTTGATTACTGAAAATGTCAAATTGGCATTTATTATCTATGTGTTTCATCTGAGTGAACTTTGCTTGTAATTTGAAGAGAGATTGGTAATTGCTGATGATTAGGTGTAATAAGTCTCTGGTAGTCTGGTGAGGCCACTATCATGATAGGGCACTGCTTATTGTCATATGTAGAAGTTGTTAAAATATGTGAGTCACTCACTCACTGTGTTCATAAACAAATTTGCATTTTGATTAAACTTTAGTTGTGTGTTGGTTCATTAAATGTGTTAATGCTCAGTCGTATGATAAAAAATCACTACAGCAGATGATGACATGGATGTAGAAGCAAATCACTAGTCCTATCGATATTGAACATGCTGAGGTTTGACAATGAAGTATATGAAAACCTGACAGCAAAAAGGTCTGATTATATGCTGATATATTGATGTGACTTTCTATTGTTTCAAATCATTTGACAATTGCACAAGACCATGAAGACATATATGATATTTGATCATCAAAGTAATTATTTTATCAACATAACCAATTAGGACACATAATATGCAGCTGTTATTGAAAAACTATAGATTCTTGAAATGTTGAGTGGCAATTCTTTTGAAATGTTTTAGCAACAAATAATTACCGTTTTGCACTGGTCATAAATGATTATGGACATTTTGTTCAAACTTCTCCCTTTCAACATGTTGATACAATAGTGTGGTACTGACAGTCACCATACTATACCCATTCATCCAGGGGTGGTGGGGTAGCCTAGTGGTTAAAGCATTCGCTCGTCACGCCAAAGACCCGGGTTCCATTCCCGACATGGGTATAATGTTTAGATGTTTGAAGCCCATTTCTGGTGTCCCCCACTGTGATATTGCTGGAATATTGCTAAAAGTGGCGTAAAACCATTCTCACTAACTCACCCCATTCAGCCATGATTTTTGTTGGATTTAAATGTTGATATACGAGCTATTGTTTGTTGAGGTTACCACACAGAATATATCTTTACTATGCCATGGCTTCATATTAGTGGCTAATGTCAAAGTCCCCTTTTCAGTGATGACAAGTGGTGTATTGCTGTGCTCTTCCAATTATGGAAGATAATTAAATCCAGAGAAAACTTGTTTTCAGTTGACTCACCCCATTCAGCCATGATTTTTGTTGGATTTAAATGTTGATATACGAGCTATTGTTTGTTGAGGTTACCACACAGAATATATCTTTACTATGCCATGGCTTCATATTAGTGGCTAATGTCAAAGTCCCCTTTTCAGTGATGACAAGTGGTGTATTGCTGTGCTCTTCCAATTATGGAAGATAATTAAATCCAGGGAAAACTTGTTTTCAGTTGACTATGTCCCCTGTCTAGGTCACCTGTGTGCCATCTGGTCTTTGACTTATTAATAAAATTTCTAAATATGGAATTTAATTTCCAGGTGCGAGTCATGTGACCGTTTGCCTTGGTCTTTCAATCTGTGACTGGTGATCATCAAATAGGTGAACATGGTTATGTTTGATATTCATTTCTGTTGCAAGTTTTTTATTGCAAATGAAACAAAGGGTGGAAACAGGTTCTGGACATGAAACATGATTGTGTAGGATTAGGTGACTGTAATGTAAGCATGATAAAGTGAAGCGTGTCTGTGTCAGAACATGTGACCTCATTACAGGGTTTTTCTTTTCATAACTTCACAAAAAATGATCTGCAACAGAGTTGCCATCTACCTAATCGTAAAAGTGGTATTCCCCAAGGAAATGTCACTTGTCCTTCCAGAATTTTACTAGTCTATGACCAATAAGTTTATGTTGATTTTGAAGCGTGGGCTTATATCATGTATATGATGCCACAATCTTGTTAACCATTGCGTCACAAGAAGATGGAAAGATAGGGCATTGTAGTGGTGTAAGTGTTTTCTCGTCACACTGAAGTACTGGGTTCAATGTCCATACATTGGATGTTCTTGATGTCCTCCTTAGCAACGATGTGGCTAGAGTAATGCTAAAACAACTTAAAACTATCACCACAATAAAGTTGATGGTATTAATTCAGTCATGGTAGAATTACCATGAACCTATTGTTTCAGTTTTAAGATATGTTATTATTTATTTGTTGTTTTTGATACCTTTTTATTACACCCATGCTGCCAGTGTTCACTAAGTCTTATAATTAAGAAAGAAAAGTCAACCATGACAACCACACCTTGAACGTATTATATTGTGTAATGCATTTTTAACTTAAGTTTGACTCTTATGCAGTGTTGTTTGATTTTCTAGAGGTGTTCATTTACTATCACACCTAATGTAAACAAGATCTAGCTGTGAATGATTTAAGTCTAGGTTTGAAAACCTTTTAAATTTAGATACACTGCTGGTAAGGCCCATTGAAGAATTTGATTTGTAAATCTGGTGTATCCTTTTTACACTTGCTTATAGACATCAACATGATCAGAGGGTGATGTTATACAGGGATTCAACTATACCTTAGTCATTACTTTACTCCCAGTGCTACTGTCGTAAATGCTAGAAGAATACCTTTTGCTAGTTAAAACAAGAATGAATGTTTCACAGACTGTTGCTATTAAAATATCGACTAACTACCAATCTAAATACCTCTGGTTTGAGGTATTTCAGTCACAGTCGCCCTATCGACAATTTTACAAGAGAAAAATTTGAATGGAAACAGCATGCTCCAATTTATAGAGACTATTATTAGTATTATGAAGTATACAGTTATACGCATGCGACTCTGTCATGATAATACTAATGTAAAAGTATCTTTTTAGGCTAATCACAGTGTCAGTCAGGATTGGGTACTTTAGGTTGATTTTTGCTATTTTGATACATGCTATTTTCATAGTCCTATTATTTATTTGTATTTAAAAATTGAAGCCAGAAAATCATTTTTCTAACATTTCCAACAGTACTTTAGTGATGGGTATTGGCCTGACTTTCATATTGCAATTTATTGCAATAATGATTCCTGTGTTGAATACATACCACAGTGTATTGAATATATTATTTAAGCTGTAATTTGTTATGTTCCTGAAAAAAAATACTTCCCTGCATGTTTTTGTTGTCCACCATTTTGTTGGATGTTGCTTGGATCACATGCATAATAGCTCATTATGTTGAGGAAACTGGTCATGAATAGTTTTGCTTTTTCGATCACAGGAAACTGTTGCCAATTCCTGAATTTCATAATTTCAAATTCAATTCGCCTTGCCACTTATGTAAACTTTGCCAACAAAATGAAAATATGCATGCCTTGAAAACGCAATTTACCCATACATTCCAAACATATTGTGATTCATATTCATTAGTGTTTTATGTCATGGTATATCGGTAATACCGCAGACCTATTGCTATCCTGAGATAATATACAAGGACACCTACAAAAAAACTTAAAATCTTCATCTTCAAGCCTAACCTTTAACATTGGACAACCTGACTTAGGCTAGGGCCAATTTTCATCCCTGATATAGATTATGATCCATGATAGGCTAATTATGATAACAGTGCCCAAGAATATATTTAATGCCTTAAGCATTATGTTATGGTTGCTGAACAATATGTTGCAAAGAATATTTTCGTCTTGTTACATAAATGTTAATTAGTTCTGTGTGTGTATCAATGGAATTGTTATTTGAACTCTCCTTTGGGGTCGTTTTCTTTTGTAATGTAAGTATTTGATCCCATTTGGTAAATCAGGCATGGCATTTACACACACCTGGACCAATATTATACTATCAGCTGTGGCCAGAAGAATACTTAGTATGGAGGTTAAGCTTGCTCAGTATTAATTATTGTCCTCTATGTCCATTGGATTTAGGCATGTGCTACAGATGTTTTTGCCTCTATGCCGAATTTATCCCATGTATAGTGGATAGTACAATGGTTTATTGAAATTTTCTGTTTACAGGCGGTGGCGGCAAAAGAAAAGGAAAAAGTAAGAAATGGAAGCAGATACTGAGATTCCCCCATATATCACAATGCATGGATATGAAGACAAAAATACGTAAGTATCACTCAGCATGGATAATATCAGTGATGACAAACCCAGGCTTGCAATAAGAATATATCTCCCAGATCCAATACTTGTAAAGCTAAAGGGCATGTTCATGTAACATAAGGATTGGTGGCGACAATGGCTTTCAGCTGTACAGTTTTTGATAATTAGTTGGGATTTGATCAGCAATCATAGGTCATAATTGGTTTTTGTAATTATCCATTGACTATTATAAATTGTCTTTTAAGATGCTGTGCTGAACATTTTTGAGGGTGCAAGCCTAAAGTGCATTGTTCAAAATTAAAATAAGAGGTATCTTATCTACAGTTGACTGCTCCAAATTTCAAAACACTAGGTTTATCTGTTAATTGTACCCTGATCACGTGGAATATATAAAGCATTGTTTTTTTTCTGGTTCAGATTTGATATTTACAGGCCATCATATAGCTGGAATAATGCTGACTGCAGCGTTTAACAACAAACACCAATACCATTTAAGTTGAGTCTACTAATCATGCTTATTTCCACAAAGCTCAACTGGTGTGTTTGCTCATTGTGGCCGGATTGAACGGGTGTACATGCAGTCTGTGCATGAACCACTAATCCGAAGCCCGCCACAAATAAAATGCTGTTTGGTCTTGTAAGCTCAGTTCATAAGAGACTTAGAGTCCACATAATTTCAAATTCAGGCTAGTAGTCTTACAAATGTTTGGCAATGACTACATGAATGCTAAAAGATTGATACTTGCTGTTGATTTGATTCTCAATAAAATTAGGACCTCCTCCATGGTTTAGTGGTAGAGGCTCGGCCTAGGGAGCGGAAGGTCTGGGGTTCGATCCACTGCCATGTCTTACCAACAGACTTTAAAGGATGGTATTTGTTACCCTGTATGGTGTTCGGCATTAAGAGATTAAAACAAGGATTGGTCAGCTCTGAGTCAGCATACTGGGTTTGAGTGGGCTATTCATGTTAAACTGCGGCATGCTATCTCAGTGAGCTAGCACTAAAAAAAATCGGCATTAGTCTGGACTAGTACAAGTAGTCTCGCACACATACGTCACTATATAAGTGCAATAATCTTGAACGCGACATTAAACCACATTTCACCTCACTCAATAAAATGAGAGCCATCTGATCAAGCTGATGGTTTTCTGTGTCTGGAAAGTCACATTTGCCATGGTGTGCATTCTGATATGTGGTGGTCGGCTCATGCTAATTCTTGATCTCACAATAATGGAGGTCATTTATTATAGTAGATTCAGATTTCAGAATTAGCATTATGAATGAACAGCTTTTTGAGTAAATTACCATTATCAGATGCTAATGAGTTGTTTCCATTGAAAGAAAGAACATGTTTTGTGTCATACCTATGTATAATGTTTCTGTTGAGATCTGCCTGTCAATTTTCGTTCAACACAAAATGTAATCACAAGCTATCACGAGTGACAAAAATAAACATCTGAAGATTTCTATTCAAGTGAACATGGTAAGGGCTGGAACGACTGTCCAATTTCTGCTGTCAACTAGTCAGCGGCATTAGTTCGTTCGACAAACAAGTTGTTTTCTGCCTTTCTAATTACGTAACAAGGACTTATTGAAACAAATCCCTTTGAGTCTTCTTTTCATGATAGTACTACAAACCTATGATGGAAGACCAATTCAATTTAATATTACAAAGCTGTTTTGTCATAGATCGTTATCACATTGATTATTCATAGGTGCCTAGCGAGAAAATAACTCCCATTGGCAATTTCACAATGCAATCTGAGGTTAGATGAGTGCAGATAACCTTATTTTTCCTTTATTATATATATATATATATAGCATTTTCAGCTTCTTTGTTACTTGCAAAAACAAGCTGCAAGAAATGATATTGCCACCAGTAGTAGGCCATCAGTATGTCACATTAAGAGTGACATATTAACTATTATTAACTACTATTCATACACTTTTGACATGTAGATCTGTCTTTTGATTTCTGCTAGGTTTTAGGTGACATATAATATGTTCAAAACTCGGATGTTGTAGATGAGATTTCTGTGCGCTACCGAAGTGTTTCTATTGTTAAAGTGAACTCTCGTTTTGCCAATCAGGGATCCACAATGTTGCACACTCCTCCATTGTCAGATGATGCAAAGCTCCAAGCAGTGATATTGGAATCAGTTGTGCATAGTAAAAGATGTGTTTCGATTGACAACTTTTGACGATTGAGTAAACTACTGTGTACATTTTTCATTGACATTTTTAGGTATGGTAGATGATATTATTCAAACAATACAACATTTTCGATTTGTGTAGGTGAAAATGAGTGTGTCAATTCAGAAAAAAAAAATATTGAAAGATTATGCAATTTTTCAATCATGAAGATTGAATGTTGATGCAATATCTGTGCCAACTATATGAGAATATTGCGGAATCACGGCCTAAGCCAGTCCCTGCTTCAGATACAATTTCTTCTGATCATTGCATCAGTATACCTTCAAGTGATATTATTTTTTTACCAAGTCACTGTTAGATCTGGGAGAAAATATGTGTACAGCTGATAGCTATTTCCGGCTTAATTCACGAGACAAATACACGTGGTAATCCTTATCTCTGCGTAGAAACAATGCCTAGCAAAACATAGAATATAAATGAATATAAATGTTCTGTTCACTCCCCTGAAGCGATACAATGTAGTTTTTGACTGCGTTTTGCCTAATACTCGAAATATCAGTGTAGTGTCAGCCTGTGCGCTTGAGGGGAAGCAAAGGGAAAGAACTCTCAGCATTCAAGCATTATGTGAGATTCGTTTACTAGACTACAGAAGTCCTCAGATAAGAGCATCTGCACATGTGTCTTGCATCTTGACCACTGCCTGGAGAAAAGCAGCAGGGTGATTGCAGAATAGAAAAAAATGAATAGTCAGATACATCTAAGATTTGAAGTTAAAGAGTACATGTAATACTACTGTTTTTCATACTTGCCCGAGGACGACTAAATTATATTTTGCCACTTACTCGGCACTATATTTTAATGGGTTGGGCAAGGCGGGCATACTAATTGAACACCCCTTAGTGATCATGGTGATATGAAGTTTAGTCCTTGTTCAATAATATTGTTTCAATTTTGCATATATAGCATAAGTATTCCACAGCTACTGGTAACCCAGGATAAGTTGAACCAAATCACAAAATGCGTTTGAGACAAGTAGGCGGTGCACAGAAGTTGGGCAAACACTTGGTAAGTTGCAGGGAGAGGGTGTATGCTTGATGTGCACATGCAGGTCATGATGGACACACATGTTGCTCATAAGACTATGAAGAGGTCAGTGTGACAAGTCAACACCACAATTCTTAGTCGAGACAGGCATATATCCATCATAAACGGATCACCCACTACACTTTTCTTCACAATGGGGCTCATAAGACTGCAACAAACCAGATATGTTTGCCCAACTTCTCTGCACCGCCTACGTGTCTCAAACGCGTTTGTGATCTGGGGTGGACCTCATACATAGTCACATGGGGTTAATTGTGAGGTCACAACTCAACTTATCCCGTCTTACCAGTAGGTAAAACATCCATACCAATTTTGACAGTTGCCTCCTGATTGTTCCAGGATGTTTTTCTTGGGTCCAGGATGTTTTTCTTTGGTCATTCCATACATGGTGTGCAACAATTTTACACCATTAGTCAATATTGATCTTGATTATTGACACATATTTATATTGTATTGTTTTGACCTTCCACAGTACAGAAGAATCAATAATTAGATGGAAGTTTATCCATATATCAGATGCCTTCTTTGGCAACACGTTAGTACAGGAAATAATGAATAAGTACTTTGAAACCATCTTCTTGGACACTTACATGTCTGCTACCAGATATGCATTGTGTTATTATTCACTTGTGTAAACGAACTAAGTTGAATGTATACTTCCATGATTTTTGTCTGGGAAGTTTTATGAGTTGAACATGTTGAACAGTCATGTCAATACTTACTAATCGAATAACAGGCCAAGTCACGAAAAGAGTGTCAACAAATCCCCCATACATTTTTTCAAGTCAACTGCTGGTACATGCAACTAATAATGGACTGGTTGACTAGACCTTGCAGCTTCAGTTTTAGTCAATAAGTAACTGCTCTAATTGTCATAATTTGTCTCTGAAAATGAGCAACTTTACCATGTTTACTATTGAAAGTAAACTGTTGGGAAAATATTTTCTCTTTTTTCCTTGGACCAATTTGTCTTTAACATGTTAACTCACTATATATGTTTGTACCAAAGTAAAGTTGAAGTATTAAAAAGAATTTCTTCATAAGTCGCATGAGCTATAGAGCCTTGTTACTCTTTTTATGACTTTCCATTGTTTTCTGTCTTATTTCTCAACTCTTGTATTTCAAGCAGATTTTTCTATCTTTTTCAGCTATGACTTACAAGTATTTGGTTGAACAACAGCCTATAGGAAGGGAGTTGTTTCGATTGTTCTGTGTAAAAAAGCCCGTGTTTGCTAGGATAATTTTCTTCCTGGATTCTGTGGTGAGTACATGAACAGTATGTTGTTTTCATCCTTGAATTGCAGGTATCTTGTTAGTCCACTTTGGCATAGGTATTGTCAATGTGAACTTATGTCATGGGAGTGGAAGTGGGGGGCACAGGCCAAGTCGTCTGCGGTGCCACAATTCACTATGCAGAGTTGCATCCCTTAGGCATGTGAGAAAGTTTCAATTGTAGGTTTGAATCCCAGTTTTTGCTGTGATTAAGCTTCTTGGTTTGTCAACGCCCATGGGGGTTCTACCTATGTCGTACATATGTGTCTACTTAGTGAAAGACTTTTCAAAGCAGTGTTGAACCAAAACTCACTCTCTTATCTCATGGGCATACATCTGCTTTTCCTGTATTTTGTGATGTTGGAAAATTGCTAAATACATCAATATCCATTTTGCATAAATTCTTCATGACATCAGTCTTTAAACAATTCATAATGGCTGCTTTTCTTTTGTGCCTAACACGTTTACTCTGTAACCATTTGGTATTTTTTATTTTTTTAGGATTTTTATGACTTCCATATCTTCAAAAACTAAAGTTTTCAATTTGGAAATGCAAAATTGTTGCCATAATAAAAATCAGTTTGATAATTGAATTTTGATAATTTTTAAATCTATTTATTCAGTTATTGCACTGTTGCACATTATTACATGTATAAGTGTTGTAGTATATGACATTCTGATGATAATAATTTAATATTTTAGAATTTGGGTAAGCTATGTAATTGTATTATTAACAGGTATCATGAAATGTTATTATGAGAAAAGAGTTGTAGGTTACAGAATCTGAAGGATTGACCACTGTTTACCAAGCAGTGGCCCTATTTATAGAAGTCCAGGCACCACATGGCCTACTTCAGACAAATCATCCATTCCGCGCTGACTGTCTGTTTGATTGCTGTAAAAGGGAGTTTACAGTCCATCTTGAAAACCTGCATTCTACCAAAACCTAGATTTTGGCTTCAATTTCAGAATGTATCTATATGCATATATGTGGACTTTCCAAAAGCTTAAAAGACAAAGATGTTACAAGACAAAAGGGTCACTGACCGGTTCATCAAGCCCATTGTAGGTGTGATCTAGCTTAGGTATTGCTTGCCGACTCTTGTTCCCTTCTAGTAGTAAGCAGGGATTGAAAGTAACAGATTTAGTCCACTAGTCATAATGATAACATATAGCAAAGCCCTTAAAAAGGGTAAATGTCTACTAATACTTTGGTAACATTAACTCTTGGGCAGTTTGGCAAGGACTACTAGACTTATGCCATTTCTAACGCTGTCATTGGTGGTAAAAGTTACTAAAACATCATAACTACTTGTTGCCCTTTAAGAATCTGATGTAATTAATCCTCATATATATATTGAAAGAAGTTCAACATGCTCTATATGATAAGACATCACTAATTGATGATATTCTGTTACACCACTAGCTTGAAGCTCCAGTCTCAGACTGATGCTAGTAAACTTTATGTTTTTGTTGTCAATGTGAGATTGCCACAAAAAGCCTCTGTGTTAATGAATAGAATCTTGGGAATCTTGATAGTTCATGAAATAATTTGGACATTTAAAACAAAGACAGATTTATCAATATTCCATTTTGTCCAGGGCAGTAGTTGAAATAATTGTAAAGCCTGCCTGCCCATCTTCAAAGTTACCTTCCAGCATTCAGACATAATAAATATTGAAATATCGCGAAAAATAAACGATAAATCATTTCTTGATTCAGTTGAAATAATGCAAACAATTACTTAAGAATCACTTTGGGCTTTTCTCCCACATTAAGCTGACAGGCTGTAACATGTACTTTTCCATCATTATGATCATAAAACTTCAGTGTTCATGTATCACTATGAATGTAATACTGCAAGCATGTGTAATTAATCATTAGCTTTTTGAAGTGTTTGTGTATCTACTTGAGGAATAGCTTATATATAGAGATACGAGACATGAAAGATTGGCATTACAGCAGTAGAAAGAGATTGCTGTTCTCGTGGGAGGTACTCGCCACGTGCTACATGTTAACATATACGTCTTCAGATGTTGTTTCAATGCAAGAAGATCACCAACAGTATTAAAACACAGATTTTCCCACCTGTGAAGGTAATCATACCATGTGCCAGAGATATTAATGTTTGCCAGAAGTACCACATCAATTTAAGAAACGTTGGTTGGTATGATCATTATAATTATGATGATGATTTAGAGGAGGAAGCAGTTGTAAATGTGGTTGTGGAGTTTACCTTTCTTGATTATAATTGTGATGATGGGCCGAATCTCAACTCAAACCTCATGTATTTAATTTAAATAGTCTTACAGCCAGTGTAATGTCTTTATTTAGGATGGCCTGGATACCCATGTATTAGGGCTGGCTATCCCCCAGCATATTCATATTGACAATAAGGTCTTAGACCCGTTAAGATCCGGGGTAGAAAAGGTCTTCAGCAACCCATGCTTGCCATAAAAGGTGACTATGCTTGTCGTAAAAGGCGTCTAACAGAATCGGGTGGTCAGGCTCGCTGACTTGGTTGATGCATGTCATCGAACCCAATTGCATGGATCGATGCTCATGATATTAATCACTGGATTGTCTGATCCAGACTCGATTATTTACAGACCGCCGTCATATAGCTGGAATATTGCTGAGTGAGGCGTTAAACAACAAACCAACCAACCAACATAGATCAATAATCAATTGTAATCACTTATTTTCTCCAAACAAGATAAATTTGTCGATTGGTAACGAAACATGCTACGATCAAGAAGGTTCCAGCAAGCAAAGCTTCCAGGCTGGTTATTTAGTTCATATTGAGTCGTATCACATGAACAAAATTATGAATAACATTAAATGAAACTAGCAAAGACAACGAAGATCATTGTAGCCTGTAATTGTGGATAAAACAAGCAGATGTTACCATCACCTGGGCACCTTGTGCAATGGGCACAAGTTTTCTCAGGAAACTACTACAGTTGCATGAATGGGCAGTTTGGCAAGGACTATAGGACCAGTGCCAATTTCTGACGCTGGCAGTGGGGACAGGTTTTTTCAGAAACTAATGAAGTTAGCTTATCTAAGAGATACTTATCAAGATCAAGGTATTTTTTTCTAGAGAAGGGGCCTTTTGTTTATTAATTTCACATTTATCTGACAAAAAGTCTTAGTGTCTATCTCTTTTTAAGGCTTTATATGACTTATTTATAGTTTATATTCACTACTGTATGAACAAACAACATTCTAATGTGCCCCTTGATGGGGGATAGTGATAACGCTGTTTTCTTGTTATATATTTATTAAACTAAGCTGTAATCATTTAAGTTGAAATGTGTAGCATTGACAAAAAAAATGTAACCAATACAAACTAATTTTGGCTGAAGTAACCAAAAACACCCTGTATTCAGACTCACAGTGATTGGTCAACATAACACGACTGAGATAAGGTTCACCTTGACATGTGCATCGCCTGTCAACTTTCTCTTCCTGACAAGATACAAGGTGTCTTCTATTTACTGCAATCTTATAATAGTTCATGTCAGTCATGTTTTTAAGTGATACGATTATGGGAGGTGCAATATAAACTTTATTTTATGAAGGATCATAAACACAGGCATAAAACAGGGCTATTAGAGACACTTAATACTGTAGTGAGTCAGCGTTAGCGCTATAAGCATGGTTGTGACCTCTCATGGGAGTTGTATTTTTAACTGTGTACAGCTATGAATTCCTAAGGACCATTCAAGTTGCAGCCACTAAAGTGCAGTCTTGACTTTATTTTTGACTCATGTTATGTTCTAATATAATTCTGACCTTCTAGATCGATTGATTGGTTGATCCTTTGATAAATCACTCCAGCACAACCGTAGATGTCTTGGCCTAGGTATCTGAATTTTAATGGAAGAAAGCCATCACTTGGATGATGATGATGATGATGATGTTTGTTGTTTAACACCGCACTCAGCAATATTCAATATATGACGGCGGTCTGTAAATAATTGAGTCTGGACTAGACAATCCAGTGATCTACATCATGAGCATTGATCCACGCAATTGGGATACGATGACATGCATCAACCAAGTCAGTGAGCCTGACCACCCGATCCCGTTAGTCACCCCCATTACTTGGAAATGAAGTGTTGTCATGATCCTGCAAACATCATTGTGGTATTGATAAGTGTCATGGTGTGTTTTCCACTATGTCTTATAATTGGTATGCAGGTATGTATTGTTTTGGTGTCTATTGATATTGCAGATGTCAAGTGCTTTAAAATGCAAATCCATGTGGAATATATTTTTTCATTCAAACAGTAAGATCACAGTTTGCACTTGTAATTATGCCAATCTTGTAAAAGGTTTTGTCTTTTTTTATACAGACCAGTGGATATCCTGACATGGATCTAGGTCGTGAGAATAGGAGTACAATGGCTAACAAAACTTCTGGTGCTACTAGCTCCAGAATTACTATCTTGTTACTTGGATGGGAATCTTTCTGACATCTAACTAACTAATTGAGGCAATGTCTTGTGTGACCAAGACTACTCTGAGAATAGGTCTAGTCCATCATAGCCAACCCATTTGATTGGGATCAAAGTAGGTCTCGTTTGCATAATGCTCATAGAGAACTCATAAAATGCAACATGAAGGAATTTTTTGACACCCATTTGTGTTTGGTTTTAAATGCCATGCCCCATGAGAGTGATGTGATTGCCAGCTAGGGACTGAGGGAGTAGAAGAGGATCAATACTTCTCTTGATGGGCTTGCTGCTGTTGCTGCCGCTGCCCCATTTTGCTGCCATGCCACGGTGGTGTAGTACTTGTTTCTCTCACCCTGCTACTGTGCTAATCATGTGACAGTGTGCCAAAGATACATAGGATTTAGTGCACATCTCTTGCATCCCTTATCTTGTCCTGGTCATGTAACAGTGTTCAGGAGCTACTTGCAGATCTCCTTGAGACAATTTTGAGGCTGCATTCTCCAGCTTTCCTTGCCTGACTGGTCAT